TATCATAAAATCGGTGAGGACTTGAGACTTAAGCGTGACGCGGTTTTTGTAGGTTATGTTGTATTCGCTAAGTTTGGTTGCCCATTTGGACAGTCTGCCCGACTGATTGGTATTGTGCATCACGGTCCGCAGCAGTTGATCTGTAAGGATCTCGATCGCGTGCGACTGGAAGTAAGGGCGGAGTTTTCTAGCAGAAGTGATAACGGCGAGTGCCGTTTTTTCCAGCATTGGGCAGCGCGTCTCGGGGTCTGTCATACGCTTGCTCATGTAGAAGATCGGTTTCTGTTCCCCCGTTCATCCTTTATCAGGACGCTACTGCCCGCTCTCGACGATACCGCGATGTACAAAGATAGGATATCCCTGTTGTCTGGCTTGGCGAGGACTGGTGGTGTTGTCAAATACTGCTTGAGCTGTGTGAACGCCTCCTCACACTTATCATCCCATATGAAGCGTTTATTGCCGCGGAGGAGTTCGTAGAACGGTAGACATTTATCTGTAGATCGCGAGATAAATCGATTTAGGGCTGCTATCCGACTAGTCAATCTCTGGACCTCACAGGCGTTTTTCGGACTCGGGAGGTCTAATATCGCCGAGATCTGCTTAGGGTTCGCTTCGAGCCCTCGTTGCGTGACGATGTAGCCGAGGAATTCCCCTGACGTTACTCCGAACGTGCACTTTGCTGGGTTCAATTTCATTCCATACGCGTTCAGTATATCGAAGCATTCCCGAAGGTGGAGGAGATGGTCGTCAGCGCGAAGGGACTTGACGAGCATATCATCGATGTATACCTCCATCGTCCGTCCGAGCTTGTCAGCGAACATCTTGTTAACAAGTCGTTGATAGGTAGCACCGACATTCTTTAGACCGAAAGGCATGACTTTGTAGCAGTATGTCCCGCGATCGGGGATGAAAGAAGTTTTTTCCCTTTCATCGGGATGCATCATGATTTGATTATACCCGGAGAATGCATCCATGAAGGTGATGAGCTCGTTTCCGGCTGTTGCCTTTACGAGTCGATCGATATGCGGGAGTGGGAAGCTATCCTTCGGACAGGCTTTGTTGAGATCGGTGAAATCTACGCATACCCGCCATTTCCATTCTTCTTTTTGACGAAAACGGGGTTAGCGAGCCATTCCGGGTACCGTACTTCAACGATCGAACCGGGATTTAACAGATGATCGATTTCATCGTTGACTGCCTTTGCTCGTTCGGGGCCGAGGCGACGGCGTTTCTGTCTTATAGGTTTGAACGTCGGGTCCACATGGAGTTCATGAGTGGTGATAGCCGGGTCAATCCCCTTCATATCGGAGGTTGTCCGGGCGAACGTTGAAGTGTTTTGTCGAAGGAAGGTGACGATGCGCTCCCTCATGTCATCTAGTAAGTAAGCGCCTATTCGGACTACTTTACTCGGATCGCTTTCGTCGAGGATAACTTCGGCGACCTCCTCTTTCTGTGGGTAGATTTTGTGTACGGGCTTTGTCACAACATTAACGTGCGAATTCTCCTGTCGGAGTTTTACAGCTGCGACCAGTAGTTCACGCGCCGCTTGGTGATCACCGCGTAGAGTTCGGATCCGACCATCGTTTCCTGAAAATTTCACGCATTGATGTAAAGTGGACGAGATCGCCTTCATCGCGTGAAGCCAGGGCATTCCGAGTATGACATGATAAGGTGCGACAGTATTTATCACCGAGAACTTCACATTTTTCGTTACGCCGCCTGCATAGACGGGGAGACGAATGGTCCCGATCATGTCCTCGGAGACTCCGTTGAATTCTGTGACGGTTCGGTTAGAGGGTTTCATCTGTCTTAGGTCGACTCCCATTTTTTCCAGCGTGTTCAGGAAAATGAGGTCCACAGAGCTTCCCGTGTCAATCAAGACCTTCGTGACTTCGCATTCACCGATCCCAAGCTCTACTAGCAGAGGGTCGTTATGCGGCATGTGTACGCCAACGGCGTCCGCCGGTGTAAAGGTTATCGGCGGGCTGTCCTCTGGTTTAGATGGCCACTTCTTGGAAGCAATTGCCTGGTGTTGGTGGGCTTTAACCGATCGGACCGAGTCTCCACATGGGGGGGAGCCACCCATGATGACGTTCAGCCGTGTCTCCTGTTTTGCTTCCTCTCGCGCTTGGATGGTGGGAGCTTTCTTTCGATCGAGCAGCTGCCATAAGTCTGGCGCTTTGACTCTATCCAACGTGTGTCGTAGGTCAGTGGCAATGTGCCGGGGGGAGTTAGTTGTGATGACGTCCGTACCTCCTTGTTTACGTGCCTTCTTCGAGTTGAGCTGTTCGCGGAGGTCATCAGACCGTCCCCTTTGACGACGAGAGTTAAGGTACGTCCGAAGATCTGAGGATCCGGCATCATCGTCTGAGGATTGCTCTCCATGCGAGAGGATGACCTGGATTCGCTTCCTGTTTTTTGGTTGCCGTCGTCGGCCTCCTGCTCGTCTCGGGGGTGCTCTGTCGCGTTTTCCTCGTCGGATACGCCATAGCGGGTTTCTTCCTCGCGCCGGGATTTGTCATTTATCTTTTTGGACTTCTTGTCCTTGTTTTTGCTCCAGCTTTTTTCGGTGTTAGTCCGTGGTTTTGGAGGCTCGGCTTCTATCTGCCCGGCTGCGTACTTCGCGATAAGATGTTCGCCCAGATGTCTGCAGTCTTTTGTATCGTGGCTCTTGGTATTGTGATACTTGCAGAACTTGCTCGTTTCAGTTCGTCAGGGGGACCGGGAGCCGGACGGTGATTTGGCATCGTCGTCTTCGCGGTAATAATGATTCCACCCCTTTCCCCGGACTACGACGGTGGATGGAGGAGATTCGTCGCCGTCAACGTGGTAAATGTATCCCTTCTTGTGATCGTTACGATCTCTGGAGGAATGCTGACGAGGTTATTGGTGCGAATCTTGTAGGGAGTCGTGGCTCTTCGTAGTTCCTGGTTTGTCCGAGTTACACTTGTTAAGTATTGCGCGAGTGTCTTCCTCCATGCGGATAAAGGTTTGGGAGCGGGCTATAGCATCTTCCAGCGAAGTGGTCGGACTTCGGTAGAGGTCCTGGCGAAACGGCGAGTGCACGTAAAGTGCGTTCTGGAGGGCCTCGACAGCCATGCTATCCGGGGGGTTAACTTTGGAAGCCAAAGTTTTGAACTTTCCCATGAACTCCTTGAGGCTTTGGCCAGAAATTTGAGACATCTTCCAGAGGTCGGAAGCTGTGGCTCCCTGGCGAGTGAACATGATGTAATGTTTCAGGAATGCTGAGGATAAGTCATGAAAGCTGTCGATGGAGTTTTCGGTCAGTCGGGAAAACCACGTCAGTGCTGGTCCAGTAAGACTTTCGACGAAGAGTTGACAGAGTCCTGCGTCTCGTTCTTCGTCGGAGAAGCGTGATCTGCCCATCACGATATTGAAGGCAGTTACATGATCTGTCGGATCACTCTCCCGGCGTAGGTGGGGAGTCGGAGTTTCTCGGCCAAACAGAGCTTGACGTTACTTATCCGCGCTGTGAAAGGGGTGCGTAGTGACTCTGCCAGGACGCGATCAATCTGAGGTGCGGCACTCGTAGCGTGATGGATCTGAGATGTTATGGTCTGGAGCGACAATTTGAGCTCAGCTATTTCTCGTGCGGTTTGAGGATCGGAACCGCTAGCTGGTGGAGCGGAATCGTCTGTCGGGGTATCTTTGGGTTGCATCGGCTGGTTTGCCGGCGTTGGTGTAGGGTTGGTGTTGAAGAGGAATCGACGGACCGAGGCCACATCACGGGCTGCTCCCTCTTGGGATGAGAAGATAGCGGCGAGAGCCGCGAGCTGGGCGTTTGTCTCCTTTTGGGCTTCGTCTTGCTGAGCGAGACGGGCCATGACGGAGTCCATGAAAGTTTCAAGGGTCGGGACGACCGGAGTTTCCTCCGGTTGGTCTCTGGAGGAATCTTCTTCGTTTGGCATGTTCGTCACACTGCTTCGTTATGCCCCACGGTGGGCGCCAACTGTTTGAACCGAGTTTTGTGATAACAAGTAATTGATCGACGGAAACTCGTCGGTGGGTTATTACGAAGGTATAAACGAACAAATGGAAACGAAGAGTGATTTTATTGATTAAAGAGTGAACGTTTACAAAGAAAACGACGGTGCTCGGGAGCTACCGGAGTGTACGGACCGACCTAAGAACAACAATGTGAGTGAAACCCTAGTTTTGTTGCCGCTTCGTCAGTCTATTTTCGGATCCCTGTTAAGTTCGCCATATCTTCACTTTTATAGGTCATTGTACGGAAAATCTGATGGGCCGTGCTCTTTGCTTCTTGGGCCTCATACGCGGGCCAGATCATTTTACTCGGTACGGACGATGAAGTAAGCTCGCATCGACTCCTTTGTCGTGTTGCGGCCAAATGCTCTCCTCGCTCGATCGAACCGAGTAATGGGCTTGGGCTTCTTATTCGACGGCCCTTGAGGGATGGACCCGAGTCCATCCCCTACAAATAACGCATCAGTAACTGATGCTTGTGATCAGTAAAAAAATATAAAGCTTTAGAGCATCCTCATCAGTGAACCCCCATGGGTTCACACAGATTTCCAGCAAAAAAAATAAAAATAATGAATAGTTTTGAACCCCATCTCTTCCGAGCTCTTCCCAGTGAACCTCTGTCCAACAAGTTCAACACCGTTCTCACGATACGTGTCGGCCAGCGATTGGTTCGATTATTATTATTATTTTTTTAAAATAAAAAGCACAATAAAAAAATAATAATAAAAAAAAATTAAAAACATGAACCCCAAGAGAGATTCACTGATGCAGATGCTCTAAGTAATTAAAACTTTATCAGTAAAAAAATTAACGCGTCACTAACCGAAACTTGATCAGTAAACTAACTCTGTGTTGTTGACAAAATCCAATTATATAATTGAACAATAAACCTTAAACCCCCAATTTCAGCAATAATCTGATAAACAATAGCGAGGAAGAGAAACTGGATTCAATCGATTCAGTCAAGGTACACCTGCTCGGGGAAACATCATAGATCAGGCCTTTGATCGCCATGAGAAGCGGCTTTTTGGAATCAGAGCCGTCATACTGCTTAAGTTCCTCCTCCATGATTTTTCCGAGATGAACCGGCGGCGGAAGAGGCTCTGATTACGCAGAACGCGGGTGGTGTTCCTCGGGACGACATGATAGCCGGCGATAGCAAGAGCTAAGACGGTGAAAAGCGCAGCCAGACAAAATCCAGTATAAGCTGTAATGGTTTCCTTGAGCGTCTCCCATAGTTGGACCACCATCATTACACTATCGAAAGAAAGATCGATCAGACAGATATTCTACTCAATGGTCACTTCATATTTGTCTTCTTTACATTGTTTTTGTTTTGATTTGAACGTTTGTAGAGCAGTCCCTACATCTATTTTGTAGTTCTAGGATGTCTTGGTTATAACTTTAACAGAGTATGTAAATAGATTAGTCCGTTTAGTGTGTTAAACAACCGGTTTATTATTCTTTTACTGGTTTACTTTATTGTTACATTCTCACAGCTCATATAAGAGAGTCACCATGTAGACGTGTAAATTTTAATTAGAAAACAAGAGAATCTTTGTATCTTCTATTATGGTATCAGAACATTTTGTTCCGGCGTTTCTCTGATCCCCTCACTATTAACTCATTTTTCGATTCGGTTCTTCATCATCGACACCTGCGATGGTTCCTGTACGTAGACTACGGAAGAACGGTGGTAAATCAGTGACGTCGGCTGAGAAAACTCCACGTCGCATTGATTCTCCTTCTGGTTCTTCACCGATCATGAAAAACAACCCGGTTCAACAACCTTTGGTATTTTCTTCAGCTCCTCCGGTGTTTCCTTCAGCTCCTCCGGTGTTTCCTTCAGCTCCGGTTCCACAAACTTCGTTGTATCCTCCGATCGATTTCACGGATATAAACTATTCACCTTACTCTCTTACAAACAGTGATAGTCCCGGAAATGTTATCGTCACTGAAGTACTCGATGGATCTAACTTTACATCTTGGAAAATTTCTATGTCTGTTTCTCTTGATGCGAAAAATAAAATAGCTTTCATTGATGGTTCTTTGCCTAGACTCGCTGAATCTCACCCGAGTTTTTGCATATGGTCATGATGCAATAGCATGGTCAAATCATGTTACTGAACTCCGTTTTGAAGCAGATTTACAAGAGTATTCTTCGTTTCAACGATGCTTCTGAGATCTGGAAGGATCTAATGGTACGTTTTCACATCACCAATCTTCCTAGATCCTAGCAACTTACTCAACAGATTTGGTCTTTACAACAAGGATCTTTGACCCTCTTTGAGTATTATACTGCTTTGAAAACTCTTTGGGATGAGTTAGATGGCGCATAATGTATCTGGCGCATAATGTATCAGTACTTGCCATAACTGTCTTTGCTGCAAAGCTACTGATACAAAGGCTGAACAGACGAAGATCTTTAATTTTTTAGCTGGCTTGAATGAGTCTTATGCGACCATTGGAAGTCAGATTATCATGAACAAGACTATCCCAGAGCTTGCAGAGATCTACAATATTTTGGATCAAGATCATAGCCAATGCAACTTTGGTCATGTGCTTAGCAACAATGCTTCTACCTTCAATGTTTCATCATCGGATCAGCTCTCTGTTGATGCTACTCGTTCTTCCTACAACAACAATCCTAAGCAGCAAAAGGTTCAAGGTTCTCATTGCGGTTACATGGGACATACTGTTGATGGATGTTACAAAATCCATCGTTATCCACTTGGATTCAAGACAAGTACAAGAATGCCGCCGATATATCTTCTATACCAGTGGCTACAGAAAAGATATATTTTTCAACCAAACCAATGGTGGCAAATCTATCTTTGGGGAAGACGTCTTGTTCTACATCTAAGTCTGATATTGAATCTAAAGACGTTGCTTCTTTGAATGGTGGAATGTCTAAAGATCAGATACAAGATGTGATCGCTTACTTCAGCACACAGCTTCAAATACCCACCAGTACTAGTCAATCCGCTGCAAATCTATCTCCTGATGAAGTGGTTGATTCAGTTTTGAATGGTATATCTTTCTTTTTCAACGCTGTGTTTTATTGGAGTTTTGGCATCTACTAAAAATACTCTAAATTCTCACATATGGATCATTGAAAGTGGTGCAACTCTATGTGTCTCATGATAAAGATCTATTCACAGAATTGTCTTATCATCATGGTAATACAGTCACTCTCCCTACGGGACTTACTGTAAAGATTGCAGGGGTTGGAAGTATCCGATTGAATGATGATATTCTCATCAAAAATGTGCTATTCATCCCTGATTTTCTATTGAACCTTCTCAGTATCAGTCAGTTAACAAGGGATTTGAATTCACAAGTGGTTTTTGATGTTGGTTCTTGTGTGATTCAGGATCGTATCAAGGGGTAGATGATTGGACATGATAAACAAGTTGCAGGATTATATGTGCTTGATTATACCTCTTTGTCATCTTTTGTTTTAGTTAGCTTCCTACATGTTCCTCTATTGTTGTTGATGCGGCTTTATGGCATAGTAGACTTGGTTATCCCTCTTATTATAGAGTGGACCTTTTGAAAAATGTACTTGGTTTCAATAAATGCAATAAAGATAGTCCCTTAAATGGTTCTACTTGTCAGTTAGCTAAACAAAAGCATCTTTCTTTTAACCTACAACATCACAGATCTTCGGTAGCTTTTGAATTGGTTCATATTGACACATGGGGACCCTTTTCTGTACCTACTACTGAAGGCTACAAGTATTTTCTTACTGTCGTGGATGACTACTCCAGAGCTACATGGACTTTCTTGAGGAAACGTAAGGATGAAGTTATCCATATCTTTTCTGCTTTTCTCAAGATGGTTGAGACACAATCTCAGCTACATGTTATGTCAGTAAGATATGATAGCGCTCCAGCATTTAAGTTCACTGATCTTTTCAAGGCTAATGGGATTTTATCTTATCACTCTTGTCCAGAGAGACCTGAGCAAAACTTGGTAGTGGAGAGGAAGCATAAGCACATTTTGAATGTGGCAAGGTCACTGATGTTTCAATCTAAGGTTCCCTTTCATTATTGGGGGGACTGTATTCTTTCTGCAGTATTTTTAATTAATAGAATACCATCTCCAGTTCTTCACAACAAGTCTTCTTTTGAGTTATTGCACTCCAGGGTTCCAGATTATTCAATGCTTCGTGCCTTTGGATGTCTATATTATCAGTCTACTTCGTCTCATCAACGTCACAAATTTCAACCTCTAAAGCTTGTGTGTTCTTGGGTTATCCGGCTGGTTACAAAGGTTATAAGCTACTTGATTTGGAGACAAATGCAGTTTCTATATCAAGACATGTAGTTTTCTTTGAGACACTATTCCCGTTTGCTACTACTAATTCTTCTCATGATGATATGTTTGAGGAATCTGTAGAGAAAGCTGATGTTCTGAAACCTCCTGATGTTATCAGTTATGATGTTGCAGACTCTTCAAAACGTAAACGCAAACAACCTGAACATCTTCAAGATTATTATTGTAATACCTTGGCTGATGAACGTTATTATATCTCTGCTTACATCAATCTTACAAGACAACTACAGAACATCAAGCTTTCATTGGAAGAATTGACAAATATCCAGAACCACAGTCTTATTCCCAAGCTAAGAAACTCAAAATCTGGAACGATGCTATGGAAGTAGAGGAGATTTCTCTGGAAAGTACATGGACTTGGATTATTTGTTCTTTACCCCCTGGAAAAACACCTATTGGTTGCCGTTGGGTTTACAAAGTCAAGATCAATGCTGATAGTATAGTAGAATTTTTTAAAGCGTGTTTGGTGGCCAAGGGATATACACAAAAGGAAGGTTTGGATTTTGTTGATACCTTCTCTCTCGTGGCTAAGATGACAACAGTACGAACTTTGATATCAATATCTGCAGCTAAAGGTTGGAGTTTACATCAACCTTATATTCTAATGCTTTCCTTAATGGTGATTTGGATGAAGATATATATGACTTTACCACCACGATATGCTGCAAGAAAGGGGGAAACATTGCATCCTAATGTTGTGCTTAAACTTCAAAAATCCTTTTATGGTCTTAAGCAAGCATCTAGAAAATGTTTCTTAAAGTTCAGCTCTACACTTGTTGGTCTTGGTTTTTGGAAATCTCATTCAGATCAAGCCTTATTCATTCGCATGACTGGTGATGTTTATATTGCATTACTAGTTATGTTGATGACATTGTTATAGCTTCTAACAATGATGATGTTGTTGCTAAACTCAAGCTCGATCTTTCTGCTGCTTTTAAAATCAGAGATTTGGGACCTCTGAAATATTTTCTTGGATTGGAAATCGCAACATCACAGCGGGGTATTTCGGTTTGTCAACGTGAATACATCTTAGAATTGCTTGAAGAAACTGGTTTTATTGGTTGCAGACCTTCTAGTATTCCTATGGAACCAAGCATCAAGTTGGATTTACATACTGATGAACCTAAACTTGAAAACCCTGAAGTTTATAGGCGTATGGTTGGGAAGTTGATGTATTTGACAATTACACGGCCAGACATCACTTTTGCGGTAAACAAGCTTTGTCAGTTCTATTCAGCACCAGAAAAATCTCACCTTAAGGCAGCTCATAAAGTACTTCAATATCTCAAAGGTACCATAGGACTGGGATCATTCTACTCTTCTCAGTCTGACCTACGGTTAAAAGTCTTTACTGATGCTGATTGGAGTTCCTGTCTAGATAAAAGAAGATCCACACCTGGTTTGTGTACATTTCTTGGTGATTCTGTTATCTCCTGGAAATCTAAGAAACAAGATGTTGTATCGCGTTCTTCTGCTGAATCAGAGTACCGCGCAATGGCTGTCGCAACTTGTGAAATAGCTTGGTTAGTTAAGCTTCTTGCTAAGTTCCAGGTACCTTCTTCTCAGCCAGTACCTACGTTTTGTGACTCTACTGCAGCGCTTCATATTGCGAACAATGCGGTGTTCCACAAAAGAACAAAAATCATAGAAAACGACTCTCACACTACACGAGAAAAGATTGAGTCTGGTATGATCAAAACAATGCGTGTCCGCACTTCCGCTCAAGTTGCAGATGTTTTCACCAAAGCTATCTTCCAGACTCTGTTCAATTTTCTTATTAGCAAGATGAGTCTTCTTTCCATATACGACTCATCTTGAGGGGGAATAACAAAGTATGTAAATAGATTATTCGGTTTAGTTTGTTAAACCGACCGGTTTATTATTCTGTTACTGGTTTACTTTATTGTTACACTCT